AGTGCGACCCCTCGCCATACTGGCTGGCATCGAGCCCACCGTGCCCCAGCCCAAACCCATCTCAGAGGTACCTTCATCCCCGGGCTGGTTGTCCTCCCAGCTCTTGATGTAGTCATCCTGCGAATTGGGGAGAGCCTGTGTGAGTGCAGGTGGCGGGAAAGGTGACACCGGGCCAGGCGTGCCATCACCCTGCTCGGGCCCACCGGCCCGGCTCCCGCTGCACACACCCCCTGGGCACCCCACAGCGGGAGGGCAGGGAGCAGGGACGGGGAGCAGCCTCCCCCCACAAGTGGGGTGTCACCCCCTCGGTAGCCCCTCGAGGCTCACCTCCACCTCCTGGCAGCACAGCAGTGAGATGGCCCAGCCGGAAGCAAGAAAAGAAAAAGAGAAAGAGAGAGAGAGAAAGTGCCCACCATCAGCTCTGAGACAGCACAAAGCCCTGCTCCCGGCCCCAACACACAGTGACAGGCACCCTGTGCCAGTGGGGCACCCCGACCTTCCGGTGCCCACAGCTCTTGCCACCAGCCCTGGGTATCACTGGCACTGACCACCAACGTGCTTCCCCACCTCTGGCTTAGACCTGTAATCCTGCAGAGCCTTTACACTGGATAAAGCCTTCCCCCATCAGCCAGCTGGGAAAGGGATGGAAATGGCATCGGCTGGACAAAGCCCTTGGGAGCCCAGTGAGGATCTCAGAGGATCCCCATGGTGCTGCCACCCTGGTTCTTCAATCGTGAGCCCAGAAGGAGTGGGCCAAGATGGATGTCGCTGCCTGGGGAGGCAGAACTGCTCCCACAGGACCCCGAAAGCATGCCGGGGGTGTGGGGGAGCAGCCGGGATTCCAACCCTCCCAGCAGGCAGCACGGCCCGCCCCACGGGATGCTCCAGGGTGAGCTTTGCGATAAGGCAGGAGCATCCCTGCTGCCCTGGAGAGGGCGGGCAGGGTTTGGGATGGCAGCTGGAAGCAGCGGCACGGGAGGCAGCTCCGGAGGGGATGTTTCGCTCCAGCACGGCGGTGTTTGCACCGCAATCGATAGCCGCGTTCCCGTGCCGTGATTGGTAACGCTGCGGCGGCCGGCAGCTCCCTGCGGCGCGGGTCTCGCCACGGCCGCCGGCCTCCTCCCGGTGCATCCCCCCACCGGCGCTGCTCAGTCGAAAACCCCACAAATCCATGGATTTGCTGATTAATCCAAGCTAACCGCCAGTAGGGCTGCACCCCCCCCACCCCCCCAGCGCGGCAGCAGCAGGGTGGGCCCCACGCGTGCAGCCAGCGCCCGGGGATGGGCATCCCTCGGCCCTGAACCCCCCTGGGGACGCTCAGTGCCCATGGGGGCACATCCCCCAGTGCTCCCCCCGAGCACCCGCAGCCATCCGAGCTCCCAGGTGCCCAGTACTGGCGTTGGCCAGCGGGGGTGTTGCAGGCAGGGGTCTCCAGGGGAGGAATTTACACCTTTGCACCCTCATCTGTGCTCTGACCCCCAGCTGGTTTATTTCGGGGGTTGTGCTCCCTGCCCTGCAGTGGGCATATCTCCCTTGCTGCCATCCATCCATCCATCCATCCATCCATCCATCCATCCATCCATCCATCCATCCATCCAATCCCATCCCATCCATCCATCCCATCCTCCCTGCCAAGGTGAACCCGAGTGTGCATCTGAACAAAGACCAGCGGGGCTGGCTCGGGGTGGGGGGTGGCTCGGGGTGTGCCCCCTCCCCGCCCGGCTGCTGCAGGTGTCCTGGGTCTCCTTAGGATAGAGCTGCAGCACCGTGTCCCCCACCCTGGAGGACACGAGCAGGAGGGTGTAAAACGAGCCCAAGAAAAAACCCGACTGCCTCATAATATTAAGGGCTGCAGCTAAATGCCATCGAGGCTGCTCGCAAGGGCTGTGTAACGGGGAGCGGTGACAGGATCCCGAGTGTGCCCGGTGTGCCAGCGCTCCTCCAGCACTGCCTGAATCCTCATCCTCCCTGCCTCGCGTCCCCCACATCCCCAGGGGTCACCACCCCGCCGAGGCAGCGCCGGGGTGGCGGTGTCCCGGGGGATGCTCCTGCCCTGACACGGGCTGGGCTGCCACCGAGGGTTTCAGGCCACGGCGCAGCCCCCGCAAGGGGCGGGCGGGCCCTGCCTGCACCCCCATGTGGGGCACGGGGAAGAGGGTGCAGAGGACAGCACCCCGGTCACCGCAGAGGGTCGCTTTGGGATCAAGCCCTGGCTATGGAGGCACTGGCACAAGCCACGCAGCTTTGGCGTCGGGCAGGGCGACGGCGGCGCTGCCGGAGCCGGTGAGCATCCCCCAGGTACCGGGGCCGGCAGCCGCCCACGGGCGCGGCGGGATGCGGGCACCGCCGAGCATCCCCGGGCGATGGGGCCGGGGCTGGGGCCGGGGAGGGTCGCGCTGCGGCAGCCGCAGCCGCGGGGCGGGGAGTGCGGGGAGGGGGCTCCCGGTGCCCGGCAGCGCGTCCCGTCCCCCCCGCCCCGCTGCCGGCGCGGACTCACGTCTCGGAAGCGGTTCCAGTGCTTGATCCTGCCGCCGTACTGGGAGATAGACGAGAGCCACTGCTCGTCCTCCATGAAATTGCCGGGGCTCTCCCCCGCCGCGGCGGGCCCGGGGCCGGTGGCGGGGCCGGCGGCGGGCCCGGGGCCGGCGGCGGCGGCGGGCAGGAGCAGGGCCAGCAGGGCCAGCAGGGCGCGGCGCCCGCCGCAGCCCCGCATGCTGCCGCAGCGCCGGGGGGAGCGGGCGCGGTGCGGAGCGGTGCGGTGCGCACGGGGAGGCGCCGCCGGCGAGTGCGGCCGCGGGGCGGCACCGGGCGGCACCGGCGGGAGGGCCGGGGCGGGGCCTCCGCCGCGCCCGCCGCACCTGCGCGCCGACACCGGGGCGGGGGAGCCCCGGCACGGCCTCAGCACCGACCCACCTTCTGTCCCCATCCTGCACCCCCGTCCCTGACCTGTCCCCGTCTCTCGTTCTTCATCGTACACCCTGCAACTCTTGCTACCCCCCCGCCCCCGTCCTGAAGTCCTCGTCCTGCACTACTGGTCCCTGCATCCCCTGCCACACCCCCTTCCCGCATCCTCCATCCTGCATTCCTGGTCCCTATCCAGTCTCCATTCCACATCCCCCATCCCGCACCCCCTGACACAGCCCTATTCTGCACCCTCATCCCCGGTCCATGCCGTGTCCCCACCCTGCATCTCCCATCTCCATCACATCTCCATTCTGCATCCCCCTTCCTGCATCCTTGGTTCCTACCCAGTCTCCATCCCACATCAGATGTCCTGCATCCCTTGGTCCCTGCCTTGTTCTCATCCTGCAACCCTGTAACAGCTTTGTCCTCCATCCTCCATCCTTCATCCAGCACCCCTGGTCCTGCCAGGCCCCCATTTCACATCTCCCATCCTGCATCCCCCGCCACATACCCACCCAGCACCACTCATGCCATGTCCCCTCATTCTTACCATGTATCCATCACACATCCCCCATTCCTTCCACATCTCCAACCTGTATACCCCATATTGCATTCCCAGTCCCCACTGCACCCCCATCCCACAGCCCCTTGTCCCTGGCATCTCCCATCTTCCCTGTGGATGCCCACAGTGGTCCCCATTCCTCACCCATCCCAGCACAGCATTTTAGGGCCCCAGGGAAGACTCCCCCCAATCCCAAGGTTTTGCTTTTGTTTTTTCCCCTCTTCTCAGCAGGAGGAAATCAGGGTAGGCAACAAGTGACAGCTTACCCCAGCTGCAGCTCCTTCAGCCGGGGATGCCACAGCACACATCCAGCTTCTCTTCTCCCTGCCAGGATGGGAAGGAAGGAAAACTGCCAGCAAACCCCGGTGATGTCAGGCAAAAGATCAGAATCCTTAATTCTGCCTGGGGACGGAGGTGTGAAATGAATTTTGCTGTGCCAGGCTAGAGCCGCGGGATAAGCTGCTTACCAGTGAAATTCCACCAACTTCCAAAAGAATTGTCACTAAATCATGTTTATACAAGTGGGAAGAGGAGGAGTATGCTTCAATTGTCAAAAACCCATTTTTGCCTCAACTTCTCGGTGAGAGTTGTTAAAAACTCACCAGGCAGAAGCTTCCCGAGGTGCATCTCCCCTTTCCTGGTGGCTGCGTGAGCAGCTCCCGAGTCTGTTCCAAAGAGATTTGCCAAGTACCTCTTCAGGCTGGCGGAAAGATGACAGCAACTGGTGTTAAGTGCTCTCAGCACCTCCCTGTGAGTGTGTGCTGGTGCTCTGCTCCCCGAGGGAACCGTTTGGAAGGCGGCTTTCGGAGAGCACAAAGGCGGTCTGACGCCAAGGAAAAGGACACAATCAGCCCAACGGCTGTAGCTGGGTACAAGCAAGGGCACCCAGCAAAAGCACAGATGATTTGATTGCCTGACAGGCAGGCTTGAAAACAGACAGGCCATTTGGTCTGGGAAACATAAACAGCAACACATTTGAGGGGAAAATGAAAAGCAATCCCAATTCCTGAATGACTCCCACTGCTGTTTGTGCATGGCCGAACAGCCAGCTCACTGTGGAGGGAAGAAATGGGGTGAAATGATCACTAGCACACGTGGGTTCTACTAAAGCACCCCTATCCCTGGCTGAGACACTCTCCACCTCTACCACAGCATGATTCCACACCCATGGAAGCAGCTAGGAATGGGCAGCAGCACCTGTTTTGTTACCAAACACCCAAGCACCAGCACTTTCCATTTTCCAAAGCGTTCATCCTAGGGCAAGTTGAGATCCTGTGTTGCTATTTTTAGCAAATGTGGAGATTTACAGGAAAAAAACAACGTTGTCTTGAGATCTCTGAAGGATTCACAATGGAATCAAAATGCTTGGTGCTGCTTTTAATGGAGAATCCACCTACAAGGCATATGTTTTTTGACACGCTCTGAAACGGTCACTGGAAAATGCTCTAATCGTCAGTGCTTTCTCATTATCATAGTTATGTGCTGTGCTGGAAGTTTAATTACAGAAACTATCAATGCAACAGGAGATAAACACTTTGCTTTTGAAGGGAATTCATTTATTTGGAGATCTACATCACACAGGCACACTGCTGGAGATCCAAGCAATGCCTGACCTCAATATTGTTAAATCGTGCTCCAGCACAGCTCTCCTGGATTTTAAATACTTAAGAACTCCCTTCTTCTGAAAAAAAAAAGCCATGTTTCAACACCGGCGATGCCCCAAAAGCCCCAGTTCTAGTCGTTTTCCTGGAAAATCGGCCATCCACAGACATCAAAGAGGCAACTTCGTGACATTTTGGGGGAAGAAGGAGGAAGGACTCTTGGCAACCCCAAAGAAGAGAGCAGTGGGAAAAGCTGCAGGGAAATGTCATGGTTCCCATGCTTTGGAGGAGTCATGAGGCATCCCAGCTTGGAGTTCCCAGGTTCCCATTGAAGATTCAGGTCCTCTAAAACCTTTCACTGAGGGATCATGCACAGAGCAGACCTGCTATGGCCACCTCAGGAGAAGCACAGCTGCCCAGATGTTGCATAGTAGCCAGAGGCGTCTGAGGAGAACCTCTGGGAGAGACGCACCGAGTCCAGCTGCACCTCCCCGAAGTGGAAGTTCTCAAAGAGCTGAAAGGAAGAAGAAAAAAACCACTTGAAGGGCAGCAGAGAAATGGAGCCAGCAGCTGGCCCACAGCTCTCTTGCAGGAGCTGGCCCTGTCAAAAGCCTCTACTCACAGATCGGTTTTGCCTTTAAATCCAAGTGTTCTTTAGATTATTTTTCCCACTAAAGACTGCACTTGAACTCTTTTTATGTACAGCAGCAGCTGCTCAAACCTCCCCTATTTTGCTGCCTGTGTCACTAAGAGAGTGTGGGGAAGCACCACTGCTCTGGAGGCACCACCCCCAGGTGGCTCCTGAGGTCGCAGGCTCTGCAGGAGCAAGGTTTGAGGCCAGGAGGTTTGTACCAATCCAGGCCACAGGATGCAGGACTTACCAGCTACAGCTCAGTCCTAATTCAAAGTAGCAGGCTGGAGGCACAAGGCTCCTCATCTCAGCACTGACCCCGCTTTGTTCAACAAATCCGTCTTTGTTCGGCAAAGACTTGAGTGTAAATTAGGGAAAGGAAGCCAAATCCGGCGCCCGGGGGGTGTGTCCCTGCCCATTAATCCAACCCACCAAGCAGACAAACAAAATGACATCACAATTTCTTACAAGAAGTTTATTGCTGGAACAGCATTGCATCCAAGCACAAAGTGCTCCTCCCGTTCCATTAAGCAGCAGGAAATTGCTCTACCTGGGAACATCAGCTGTGCCTCAGGAAAAGCTTCTCGGTGGAGATGCTAATTTGGAAGCTCTGTTTAACCAGAGAGCTGTGAGTCACTGAGAACCTGAGCAGTGACTTCTCCCCACCTTGGAGATCTCCAAAATGTCCATTCCATCTGTTTCCTATTCAATTTTCTATCTGTCCCTGCAGGCGTGGGCTTGAGACAGTCCCACAGCCCTTCCTGCCCTTTACAGAAGGCAAGAAGGAAAGCCAACACATTAATCCTCCTGGAGCCAATGGTGCATCAATTCCTCCATAGAGGGACTGACTGAAATCCCAAATAACTACTTAGCATCTGAAAGGCTGCACTTCACCTCCTCCAAAGAGGCATTTGGCTCTGCCTGGCACTGATTTTGGCACAACTGCTCTTTTGTTGTTTGTCCCAAGAGTATTCTACATCCTTTTTTCCAGAGGAGACCAGCTAGTTTTCTTTCAGGACAATTCCTGGGTTTGCTGTTACTCCACAAAGGAAAAGAACCATAAGGAAAGTGATTCCTTGCCCCTCTTGGGGCAGAGCAAGAGACCCCAGGGCAGCAGCATGGCCTCAAGGGACACTGTGAGTGGTGGCTCCACGGGGTCACTGCCCTAAAGAAGAGCAGCCTGCAGAAAAGAAACTGTGCTCAGGAAGCATCTCAAACCGGGAGAGGAGGAAAAGAAGAGAAATTATGACAGCCACATAAACTCCATTTCATACAATTAAAGATTTATACAAGAAAGATTAATTATGTTCCCAAAAGCCTGCATCTTTCATGTTGGAGGACTTAGGATAAAATATCTCATTAATAAGAGATGGCAGTAAAAAGGGGTTGGTCACCTTTCTCTTTGTTTTGGCTGACCTCAGAAGGAGAGATGGTTTCCTGCTCTCTGGGACTCCCTGCAATACTCTGCCACTGTGCCCACTCACCCCAAAACTTCACACCTGTCCCTGTCACAGTGGCTGCTCTCACTGTCACTCCTGCCCATCACAGAGCACTCTGCACCCAGGAAAAAGAGAAATAACCTCTCTCTTGATTCCTAACAGAGGGACTGGTAGGTGTGCTGGAAAGCAAGGAGTACTAGGGTTTGAAGAGGGCCTTCTCCAGTGCCTAAAGGGGCTCCAAGGGAGCTGCACAAGGACTTTGGACAAAGGCATGGAGTCAAAGAAGAATGCCTTCCCACTGCCAGAGCATGATTTAGATATTGGGAAACCATTCCTCCCTGTGAGGTGGGGAGGCCATGGCAAGAGAAGCTGCCCTGTCCCTGCAAGTGCAAGGCCAGGTTAGATGGGCCTTGGAGCACTCTGATCGAAGGTGTCCCTGTCCATGTCAAGAGGGATGGAACAAGGTGGACTTTACGGTCCCTTCCAACATAAACCATTCCAGAATTCTATGAAGAAAACAAATTAAATGCTGGGATGTGCCACACCCATCAGCAGCACTAGAAGTCAAACCTTTCCACAAAATAACCAAAGGAAGAGTTTTGTTTATGCTATTGTTGGACACCACAACCTGTTTTTCTTACTAAACACACATACATCAAACCAAAAATTAGTTAAGGAGACAAACCCTCCCCCGAGCCCCTCTTGCCTCACAGAGCCTCAGGCATGTCACAGCAGAAGGATGATTGGGAAGCCCCAGATGACACTGCCCAGGTCAAGGGCCCTCCATTTGTACACTGCTAAAAGTGCAGCAAAGCCATTGTACCAAAGCACTTTGTATTCCCTTGGCCTTTTTAAGATTCACCACCTCCCGTGTGTTCAAGCAGCTGTGTGTTTCTCAGGGAGGAACGCTGCTAGAACTATTGATTTTTGGTAATATGGCTGTACTTTCTGAGAGTAAACATGCTACAAGATTTAGAGGACAACCACAGACACTTTTTTCTGCTCTTGTTTCAGGTCAGCTTCTCACCGATGCTCCTGTGCTCCCTGAGGCTTCCCATGACAGAAGCCACTGCACAGAAGGCACAGAGATCAGTGCACATCTGAGACCTGCCTCAGGCAGTGTGGAGAGAGGCCCCTCAAACATCACCCTCCAACACCTCTGAAGCACCAAGGAGCAATCCTCCAAGACCTCTGAAACACCAGGAAGTGGCTTCCCATCACAAAAGCATCCTGCACTTGGGTCCCTGGGGACTTGGGAAGAGATTGCAGAGAGCCAAGCCTCTGCTTTTGACTTTCACTTCTATTTATCTTGAGGAGAAGCCAAGCAGAGCCAAGAAAGATATTTATAACTCCCCCCTCTCTGCAGCCACCACAGAAACGCTCTGGTTTCAGAGGAGCCCTGGAGCACAGCTAATGAAATGTCTCCTGGGAAAGCATCTTAGCATTTTTTATTCTGCACCAGGAAAGAAGGTACTTGGAGGTTGTTGCCCTTCAGAAGCAACTGCTGATACCCCCAAGACTGGCCGACTCCTCTTCCTGTCCTTTCCTACGGCTGCCAAGGGCCCACCTTCCCCCGAAAAGGCTGCAGGGAACACGAGGAGATGTGCATCAGGAGCAGCCAGGAGGGAGGCAGGGGAGGAGAATTGCAGTCACCCGCAGAGCCGTGTCATTTGATTGGAGTGGGACGCGAGACTCAGCAAAAGCACAGTAATTCTATAAATCCAAACATGCTGAAGGATTTATGTCCTCGATGCCCAAGGAATAAATAAGAGGATGAAGGTTGGGATTTTTTTTTAAAGTATTATAAATGAGAATGAACCTGATGGAGGTAAAGGTCAGCTTACAGAATCAACACCACGCATGCAGTGCAAGCTACTAACTCCCATCAAGGGAATAGCACTTAGAGGACTAAGTGCCCTCCATCTCCCTGCTGCCTTCCCAAATTGAATTAGAATGGAATAAGGAAAGAGCACTGTTAACTTTTAACCCCAGACCCAGCATCTCCGAGCAAAAACCCCAGGGATGTGCCCTGCCTTTCAAGCCACAGCCAAAGGTCTGGGAAATACTCATTGAGGATTGCCTGCATCTCCCATGGGGACAGAGCAGGTGCCTGGAGAGTGACAGCAGCAGCATCTGAGGATCTGTGGGGGATGGCACAGACTACAGCCACACAGCCCTCCCCAAAATCCACAAGTTCCCAAGAGAAGGAGAGAACTGGATGATGGATAACCCATATTTCACAGGTCAGCCTGCAAACTACCATAGGCCCAAGTGCTCCTCTCTCCTCCTCTCCCATCCTGGGGACTGGGTCCAAGGACACACCACTCAGGTCATGATGAAAGGCAGGCAACCCTGTGGTAGCTCCCAGAAAGCAAGTTTTCCTCCACTTCTCCCCGCAAAGTCATTTATCCTGAGTCAGGAAAAGCCAGCAGCACACAGTCATTTCTGACACCACATTTTCTCCCATAAGACAATTCTGTTCAGATGCTGGAAACCCTTCTTCCTCTGAGGTCCGTTCCCCTCCATTACCCACAAACTACCCAGCAGACCTCCCTTGGGATGGGACAACCATTTTCTGAAGGAAGACAAGAGGCTGAAGACTTGTTTTGGGAGAGACAGAATCACACATCAAACTGCTCGCTCCTTGCAAACCTGAGCCAAAACTGCTCGTACAAACTTCAACCCCTAAACCGCAACAACTTCCTTATCAAAGGCAGAGCAACAAATCAAACCCAGGATGCCTCTTTGCCACATTTTCTTCCTCTTTTTGAGCCTGTGAAGTAGGTTTTGCTGAGGCAAGGAGGAGGATGACTCCTCAATGAAGAAGTTAAAACAGGCACCTAAACAATGTCGTGTTCCCAAGTGCGGGTGTTTGTCAAGCTGTCCTCCTCGGGGGGCCTGCTTCCCACAGACAGCCCTCCTGGAATGAGACAGCACCTCTGTGCTCCAGCCTGGAACAACAGCAATAAATCACAGCTAATCCACTGAAGGACAGCAGCGATGTGTTTCAGCTCTGGTTATGAAGAGCGAAGGTGCCAATGCAAACTGGGGCTTTTAAATCACCTGTCACGGGCTCAACAAGCATGAGAAATATTAATGGATTCAGCTGGAGAAGCACTGGGAAGTGGGAGGACAAAGTAAATCCACGGAAAGGAAGGGAGTCAGAGGTATTTAAAACTTCCTTCACGTAATCTCTGGCTCACATTCACACTGCCTTGGCCTGGATTTTGCCACTACCATCAGGATTATTGATCAGTTTTTAAAGCCTTATGTCGTTTACAGTAGTCGGCCAAAAAAAGACTCATCCTGAATTGATAAAAAGTCCAAGCAGCTCTGCTGAGAACCTTGGAAATGCTGAGGGAGCAACAGTTCACTGCAATGCCTTGCAATTAAAAATTCCCACTAACAAGCAGTGATACGATGGGATAAAATGAATGTGTACAC